TGGGTAAGAATGATCCCCTGGTATCTCCCTAGACCCTGCCCCATGCTTGGAGTCTAACTTGGAATGAATCTGAGTGATTTTGTCCTGCAGATGATCTGAAAATTCCTCTGCATGGCCCTGCAAATGAATCACCAAATCCCCCCTTCCAAGGAGGGATCTAGTGATCCTAAACAGGGCTGCCAGGTGGCATTCTGCGGACATGATAAGGGCAGAAAAGTACTGACGCTTCACCACTCTTATCGCCACAATGTGGGCCTTACTAGCGGCTCAAACCTGTGTTCGGTTGGATTCAGTCTTTGTCTTCCTCCAGCGATGCTCTAGACGTCTCTTAACCCTCTTCAGAACCCTCAACTCCTCCATGAATCACGGGGAGTATTGGAGCCGATGTGGCAAGAGAGGTTGCATAAGCGCGATCCTATCCAAGGCCCTGGCTGCCTCTCTATTCCAGGCGGCAGCCAAGGCCTCTGCTGGACCATGCAGCAGATTCTCGGGAATACCCCCCAACTCCCTCTGAAACCCTGACGGGTCCATCAGGCCAGGGGTGGACCAATCGCATGAGTCCTGCCTCCCTGCGGAGGGGGGTGGCATAGGAGAAACTCAGGATCACCAGGACGTGATCTGACCATGACAACAGGAAAAGCTGTAAATCTCCCCTCAGATCACTTTGCCATTGCTCCAACAAGAAAACCAAATCCGGCATGTGGCCACTGTCTCAGGTTGGGTCCTGCACAATTTGAGACAGGCCCATGGCCGCCATGGTAGCCATGAACTCCCGAGCTGCCTCCAAGGTCTGTCCCAGGGACGGCAGGTTGAAGTCCCCCAGAACCATAAGTCTGGGGAATTCTACCGCCAGTCCCGAGATGGCCTCCAGCAGCTCAGGCAGAGAGGTTGCCACGCAGCAGGGAGGCTGGTACAGTAGCAGCACTCCCAACTGTTCGTGGGAACCCAACCTGAAAAACAGTGTCTCACAGCTGGAAACTTGTGGAGCGATGCCCCTGAAGGCCACCAGAGATTCTCGGATAACAACAGCCACCCCTCCTCCCCTGCCCTAGCATCTTGGCTAGTGCCACACCGTAAACCCAGCTGGGCACATTTCCGAGAGGGGCATCCCCCTGGGCCCCAGCCAGGTCTCAGTAATACATGCCAGGTCCGTCCCATCCTCAGTGATCAAGTCACATACGTGGGGGGCCTTGTTCTTAACCGACCTGGCATTAAGCAGCAGCAGCCGAAGATCAGGGCCCCTATGAATCTGCTGACCAGGGCCTGGGAATGAGCAAGGAGGGCTGGAACACGCCCCTGGTAATACACGCCAGGGGCATCTTCCCCGAAGATGGCCCGCCCTCCAACTCCCACAATATCATCCCCTACCCATCACCACCTCAATAGTGTAGCCCACCGCATAGTCCCTGGAGGTTTCAGGCCCAAGTGCCCCCAATCCTGGACCTCTGGAGTCCCTTATCCGGGGTAAAGGTCCCTCCCTCCAATCAGTCATCTTCATTCACAACCAGATACTCACAGGTGAGGGAAGGTCCTGCCGGCGCACCAGCTCACACTCTCAGCACCATTGGGACCAAACCTTACACTCCCCTCACGCTCTGCCCCACCAAACCTTACACTCCCCTCACACTCTGCCCCCTTGCATGATCTCTCTCACTAGTCTGCAGGGTGGGCATCCCATAAGTTCCCTCATGCCTCCTGTCTCTCACCCAGGAGGTGGATCCTCATATCCTCAAACACTCCCAGACTCCCACCCAGACTCTCACTCCTGGGAGGGCATCCCAGACTCGCACTGGAGGGGCCCTGCGGCTCTCCACTGACACTGGGTAGGTTAAGTGAGGGTGGCTAGGTTCTTATTCCCAGTTCCCCACTCTCGAGATCAAAGGCTGTTGGCTTAATGTGCTGTCCGGCTGCTCCAGTCCCGGCTGTTCCTTCAAAGTCGAGCAATCTTCCTCCAAAGCTGGACAACAAGTCCACTATGGCCTCAGCCCCCCCAACCTGCCCCATGTCCTCGCCCCAAACCGCCAAGCTCCCAGGGCTCCAGGCTCCTCCAAGTCCCCACATCACACAGGGGCTCACTGGGGCTTGCTGTGTCGCTCCAGGGTTCAGTAAGACTCGCCGTGTGGCTCCGGGGCTCATTGAAACTCGCAGCACTACTCCAGGGCTCCCTGGGGCTCGCTGTGCCACATCGGGGCCTGCTGAGCCTTCTGGGCCTGGAGTTCGAAATGTCGCCTCGGGGCCTACTGCATTTACTGGGAAGAAATCCGTCTGTCCTAAATTGTGCAGACCCCACAAAGCACCCAGAATGGATCAGTGCTGCTGTCAATATAGCTTGAATGCACAACTTCCTAAGGGCTGTGATGGGTGGTTCTCTTGACTGAAATTCCACTCATGAACATCCTTCACCACATGAAAAGCCTCTGCTGATTGGCATACACAATGCTCTATTTTCTCCATTTGCTTCATTTTGTTTTCTCCATAAACGGATCAAACTTTTCTTTTTATTTCTTGAAATGATGGGGCAACCAGTTCAACCTGTCAACCACTAGGAAGTAGCAAAAAGAGCATCTCTCTGGATTGTCTGGATTTGTGCAGTCACCGGGTAAGCGCTGTTGAAGAATTGGTGATTGAGAAAGGGTTTTAGCTGAGACAGCTGTAAACTACTCAAGAACATTATGTGAGGAGAGGAAGTGAGCCAGGGTTCCTCTGAGCAGTGGCCACTGGGAAAGAAATCCCCTGCCAGGCAGGGTACAGATGTACAAAAGGCAAGTCCTTTCAGTTTTTCTTCCAGTTATATATCTTAAGCCAGTGTCAGCCCTTTAAGGTAGGCCAGGTTAGGAAACAGATTCCACAAGGACTACTGGAACTTTATTGTTGCAGAGTATAATAACAGAATCCTGACAGCTGGACAGAGATTCTCTCTCCCTGCTATTATACCAAAGTGAATCAAGGTGAGACAATCTTGAGTTTTTTTCTCACTCCCTCTTCCAAAGGGCTAAGCTGATGTTTGTGTAGCTGCTGTTGACTTTTTTCTTCAAGGACATCTCCATACTCCTCCACACCAATGGCTAGTCAGTTTCAGGGCTTTGCACTCTAGGTCAGCTGGTTGATCAACCTATTTAAAAAAAAGAGGCTGTGAAAGTCAGGATCTGGTCTCCTTCACAGCCAAAAGAGGATTGAGGGGGCAAAAGAGTAGGCCAGGGAGCGGATGAAAAGGGGTGATCCAGCAGGAAACTGGCAGAATCAGTTGGAGCCACAAGTTTGCCTACACATCATTTCAGACCTCCTCCTCCATACATACCAACATAACCAGCATTGCTCACATGCCATATCTGGAGGTAGGGTAAGAGGGAAAACTGCTTCCAGAGCAGCACACCTAAAGCTGTCCTCAGGCTGCTTCACCTGTAGGTGGAGATACAGGCAATGGCCTGTAGACTTCTTGTTTGGAAGCAGTGGACCATCTTCATATTGGGGCAAGAAGCATGCATGGATTTGCCCATAGACACATGCTTTGTACCCTTATTTTCTGAAACACCTCTTCTGAATTGAAACTGAAATACTGCACAACTAAATATTCTACAAAAGTTGCAGATAACAACTTTGGATGTGGAAACAGTTTCTGTTATAGCCAGTACTGAGGTATTGTTGTTTCTGTTCAGATAACTGTATTCTGAATAATTAAGTGGGGAAAATAATTGCCATATTTTCTTAGTGAGGAGATACTAGATTTCGTTGGGCACTATAACATTTCTGCTAGAAAATTGTTGCCTCGATTTGAATACCTATTTCAAAAAAAAGATCCTTGTATGTGCTGAAATAGGGATCTTTAGCCTATCTGTAAAAGAGTTCCTGTCTTTATTTGATCAGTTATGTTGTTGACAATATCTACATGCACGTCAATAGATTGCTTTTCAAAATATTCCCACAATGCACTTGGTTCATTGATATGTACATGACATTGGATGAAGCAATTTTGCCAATTTGTTACAGATGTCACATGTTTGATGCCATTTAGTTTTCCAGAAGGTTAGAATTCTGTTGATATAAATTTGAGAACTAAATGTTTGTTACTGATTATACAGGCAATTCTGTTTTTAAAAAAAGATTTCTGAGAACATGTATAGCATCCACTGAAGTTGTGAACTGATCATTTAGGAGATCTGGTCACTTCTTTTTTTTTTTATTGATATTTATTGATAACTTTACATAAAGTAAAAGACAAATCTGAAGAAAAGGAAAGAAAAGAAGAAGAAAGTGCAAGAGTAGAAAGAAAAGAAAGAAACTAAAGTTATGAAATACGACTTCTGATCTTCTCTTCAACAGATAATTACAATCTTACAGTCCTCCCTCCCTTTTAGATGTTAAACAAATCTCTTCAGCCCCTCACTTAGTCCACCTCTTTTTTAATCCTCATCCTCATATATCATCATATTTTTTTCTTCTTTCAGCAAGAAGTCCATATAAGGCTCCCAGTCTTACAGAAAAGTTTTCGTTGTTTTTCTCTGACCAAACAGGCCAGCTTTGCTACCTCGGTGAATTGTGATATTTTCACAATCCACTCCTCCACTGTTGGAATTTAATTATTCTTCCATTATGTGAAAATCAAGGTAGTTATCCTTCTACAGAATCTGGTAGCATTAGGTTAATCCTTTGCAGTTCTTTTGTATAATACCCAGAATTCCCAGCCAGCATGGCCAGTACTTCTCTGGCTGAGAATTCTGGGAGATGTCAGCTCAGCACATCTAGAACTATGCAGTAGTTTTGCTATAGAATGATTGGGATTGCAGCTGCACAGCAATTGTAATCAGTTATTATCCGTTGTTATCTATCAAAAATGGTAAGAGTTCAGAGGAGTAAAAACAATAATCTGAAAGACTCCCTATGAGCCGTCTTGTGACCACTGAAATTTGCAAATCCAATATGACAAAAAGAAATTTTACTCACTCGGGACAGAAAAAAAGAACAATGAAAAAGAAAAGAAAGGGCAGAATGTGTAGGGTGAATTTATAAGAAACGAAATATCTGCTGATTTGGTGAAAAGATGTAGCTGAACTGATTGGTGGTCACACTTTTTTTTTCTTTATTTTTTACTATATGAGAACTTCTTTCAATATCATTGGCACCTTGGCTTGTACTGGATTCCAACTTGCTTGTGATTGAGGAGCTTGTAGAAACAAAGTTTAAATCCTGTTTAAAGCATGCAGCGTAAGGATGGAAAGCTGTTCATGCACTCAATGGATTCTAGGAAGAGAGGAGTCTAGCTGGGGTTTAATGTCAAGATTGTATGTGTAATAGAAGCAATGCCATCTGGCATGTAGGATGGTATGTGACTATCTGAATCATTAATTGGATGTATCTGTTTTGCTGAATTTAGATGAGGAGGAGCTTTTCTAGGGAGATTGGAACTGGTTTTCAATTGGAGGTGGAATGTGAAACTATGAGTGCAGGAAAACTTCTGTAAATATTTAATAGCTAATAATATACAGCTGGCATCAAATATAGTATTCTATATCTAAGAAAGTTTTGTTCAGGTCTGTTGTAATTGTCAAATTACACTTCCTAATGAGGTTTTAGCTGGCATTAATCATTGTTGTCTGCAGAGGTAGTTTAGACCACAAAGCTTGATGGAATCCTCTGAAAGATATCTCAAGGCTTTGGATGATTTTCAGCTGTTATTCAACATCTACATCAAACCATTGAGTGAAATCATCAAAGGTTAATTATTATTATTATTTTTTTCAAAATTATTTCTCTTTTACATGTCACTTAGATGAGGCTGCAGAAGTGCTGAATCAGTACCTGAAACCAGTAATGGGCTGGAGGAGAGCCAGGAGATTAAATTTCAGCACATTGAAGATTCTATAGGTATGTGGCTTCTCTTTTCAGAGAGCTGAAATTCAATATGTTCTCTGTGAGGATCCATTTCATAGTTTTCAGGGAGGCACATTAATCCAGTTTTGACCAACGTGATCTTGGTGACATCAGGTCAGATGCCTCTTAGGCTGGGGTACCAATTTCATTCTCCTTTGGCTGGAAATAAGTTGGCTGTGGTTAACTACAGTCTAAAAATAATCAGGATGGATGTGGTCATGCCATATATGTGAGGCTGTCTTTGAAGATTTTGTGAAATTACACTTAATAGCTGAGCTGTTGCATTTTCTACTAAAATGCTGAGCATTCGATACATACTTTAAATAAATTCCCTGGCTTCTGGCCATTTCTGAGCATAGTTTAGAGTCCTTATGTGGTTTTGAACTTGTTAATTTGAAGGAATGTGCATAGAGGTCATCTTGGAGGAAGGCCACCATTAATGTCAAGACTGTTGATTTTAAAAACTTGGTCTTCTTGATATAAATGCCCCATCTTTGAAATGTCTTTGCCTACGCCTACAAGACATCATTCTTCCCAACTTTTATATGCTGTTTTTCTAACTATTTTTATAGTTATACTTGTGTACATTTATGTGCAAGCAAATCTGGGTTGAAAGGTTGCATAGAATCCCCCAAATATAAAAAGAAAAATCAAAGAAGCATAAAGCTAGAGAGGGCAAAATAGAGATGGAGGCTTGAAAATCATTTAGATAAATGATTGAGAAAATTTAGATCTGAAAAAGAAATCACATTCAAGGGTTAAATATAGTATCATGAATAAGAGTGAGATAAAAAAATATTCTCTAGTTTGTGTTATCATATTTGGTTTTCTGGTATGAATTCTGTGATGGACATTCTTTGTTGAAAAGGCTGGTTCTCTTGAGATTTTTTTCATCAGCAGCTCAAGGTTACTTTATTTAAATTACTGCCTTTACGTGCACCATCCAGATTTCTCTAATATGGTTCCACCCAGAAGTGTTGGATTACAGTTTCCCTCATCCCTAACTAGAATAAGAATTATTATGTGGTCTGGGTCTGTGATTATTTCAGTCCAACATAACACCAGATTGGAGGCATTTGGAAAGAATCCATAAATATCCATTGGGGATAATTATGATTAGATATTTTTTTATTATTATTCACATTGCTAATCTATTCTAATTACAATTTTTTTCTCCTTCAGGCTAATTTTCCCCTTTCAGTGTGGGGCAAACTGTCATCAGATTATGTACAATGGGACTACGAATTCATTTTGTGGTTGACCCTCAGGGTTGGTTTTGTATGGGCCTGATAATCTTTGTGTGGCTTTACAATACTCTCTTCATTCCAAAAATTATCCTCTTTCCACATTATGAAGAAGGACATATATCTGCAGCTGCTGTACTATGTAAGTCAAGTTTGTTGTTATTTTCTTCATTCTATCCAGTTCTTATGTGAAAATAGAGCAGACACATAAATACTTTTAATGAGATCCTGTTTGATGGTTTCTCCTTTAATATTGTCTTCTATATAACAAGTATGAGGTAGACTGGCTTTGAACTTTCAGAAATGTATATACAATTCTTGTTCTTGGTAAATTTCCAAATCCTGCTAATTGAAGTTTTCTGAATGGAAATGTATCTGTTTTTCAGGTTACTATCTATTTTCATTGTTCTGTATTGCCTCATTGTTAAGAGCTTCAGTAGCAGATCCAGGGAGATTACCTGAAAGCCCAAAGATACCAATTACAGGTACATCTTATATCAACATGAACTGAAATTGTGTGTTTTAAATGAGCCACATGCCCAAAATCTTGATCCATGTTTTGATCTTTTTCATGACGGAAATTATCTTGGTCACCCAGGTCTACAAGCAATCGATGCCATTGTTCCTCTGAATCTCTCGCAACTTTTCATATTCTCAGTCATTATATCCATCCCGAGATATGTACATGCCATCCAGTGAATTACTGGCTGCTTTCAAGAAAGAGTTGCATGAAGAGCCTTATGGGATTCTGGAAAATCAAATTGCTGAAATTGGAGCTTGCAAATGAGATTGGGGGGAGCGGGCTGGACTAGGCAATTGCATGCAGGCCAAGAATTCCCCACCCTTGATTTCTGTTCGGGGGATCGTCAGAAGATTTGGAGTGTGGTATAGCTGTGATGGTAACATTTATCAGTAATTTCCTTCCTTCCTTCTCTCTCCTGGTTTTCTGTCAAATGTTGATGATAGTCAAGAAAATAAAATAACCATGTGAAATAGTAATATAAAATCAGGTTTTAAAAAAATTAGAACATCCTAAAAATTTCAAAACACCCTGTAGCAATTGGCCTAGACACTGTTATTCCGTGGACCGCAAAATAAAATCATTTTCATTGAATTGTTTTTGTATTTTAGGATGCTTTAATTTTCTGTTGTAAATTACTTTGAACTGTGACTAGAAAAGTCGTACATATATTTGAAAAGACAGGAAGTATAACACAATCCTTCTAGATAACACATAGAGGCATGGATGCTATCACACCTACGAGCCTCTTTCCCTCTATCAGAGTGCAGTCAGCCCTTCAATTAACCCGGAAATTAAAGCAATGAAATGGAGGGAGATTTGGAGTGCAAAAAGAAGAACAGTTGGGACAAATTAGATTGAATTTGGAGTGGAGCCATTTTTTCAAATCCATCAGAAATTCTGTTCCATGGCAATGACTGCAATGAAGATTTATTGATTGATTGATTTGTACAGATATGCATACATACGTACAATTTATATGGCTAATTCTAACAGTACAATAAAACCAGCATAGAAAATTGGCAAACAAAAATTAAATGAAAATATAAGGGAAATAAATCATTGAAATAATATGCAATATACAATGCACCAAAGCCCACTAAAAGCAACATTTCTCACACACACAGATTGGGCTTATCTTCCATCCTGACCCTAGCACTTGGGGGAAGAGTGAGGTTTTTAAGGCATTCCTAAAGGCTAACAGGGTTGGGGCCATCTGCATCTTGGGGGGAATGCTGTTCCAGAGATAGTATGTCTCCTGAGTCCTATTAGATGACACTGCTTCACAGAAGGGACCCAGGGCAATCCCACTTTGTGTCCCCTGTGTCTGCACAGAACAGGCCAGGTATGCTTTTCTTTCTTGTATTGGCATCTTCTTCATCAAGATGTTGGGAAAAGGGAGCCGTTTTCATTATTCTTTGCAGACAAAATTGATTAGTGACACCTCAGTTTGAATTTTAATGGTGGAGCAGGTCATAGGGAGATAAGTTTGGCAACCATTTGCCATGGTAGGACTGTAGACAGTTTGTAGATTCCAAGGACCTGATGAAGACCACCACATGTTTGCCTACATCAAGCAGGTTGGGAATGGCCCCATGCTTAAGTGAGGTGATCAACACCTCCGTCAGTGTGGGATTTATCCTCACCTGCTTATAGGATGTTATAAAACATCCATTGACCCAGAAAAGCTTTCTAACGATAGTCCAGTCTTAAATATTCAGTCTTTCAGTAAAATGATAAACATAATGATGGCTTTGAGTTCCAGATGCATTTGGATAAAACTGATTACTTGCAACCATTCCACTTGGCATTTTGTGTAGGATTTTATTTATTTATTACATTTGCATCCTGGCTTTCCATCAGGAATTCCAGGTGATGTAAATAGTACTTCCAGTTTTTTTCCCCACAACAACTGTGTGAGGTAGGTTGGGGTGAGGGACTGACTGACCCAAAGTCACCTAGTAAGCTGTAGCTGAAAGACCAGAAGCGGGGTCTCCCTGCTCCTAGTCCAACACCTTAACTGACTGCTTTGATCACCTCGGTGGATAACTAGTGCCAGAAACTAGATTGGGGTAGTGTCCAGAAATTGCAGTACTTGCAAAATGCAATGGTGAGATTCCTAATCAATGCAAAGTACAGCTTTCACAGAATAACTGTATCAAAAGTTCTGCATTGGTTGCCAGTTTCCTATTGGGCACAAGTTATGGTGCCTGTGCTGACCTATAAAACTTTAAAAAATTTAGAGACTGATTATTGGAGGGACTGCCTATCCTGTTACGAACTTGCCTGTTTACTTAGATAAGTAGGTATAGCCTTTCTGAGTATGCCACCCTTGCCAGAAGTTTAATTATCTGGTATTTACCACCACCCCCAGCCTATATTAGGAAAATTGTAAAAATTGGTTAGACTTAAAATGGATGATTAGTTCAATGATGTTGATTTTAATGTTTAATTTTTCACTTAATTGCATCAATTTTACTATTACCTTTTATCTTTTGTGTTTTGATTTATTGATCATTTATGTAAACAAAGGCAAGGCATAAATATATAAATTTTCAAGATGGTGCCTTGACAATGTATCTGTCTCTAAGTCTTAGGTTTTTTACTATGGAATTTGGGATGCTTGGGATTAGTTTGGCTTGGAGGGGATGGTTTTGGAAGTTAGAATTTTTAAGATAGTGTTAATGGGTGTGTACTCCAGTGTTCTGCAGTGGGTTATTGGAACAGAGAAGATACAGAGGAAGTCCAGCAGCTCAGTGACAATCATGGTTGGAAGTTGAATGAGTTGAAGTATGGAGGAGAGGAAAGAGTGAAGAGATGGAGAAAATGAGATGTAGTGGCTGAAATTGCAGTGGTTGATATGGTTGGAAGGTACAGTCTCAGATGCTGTTAGATAATGTAGAGGCTGGACAGGTTTTGAAGTAAGAAAGAGGTGGAGGAGAATGGTAGTAGGAAATGGCTTTCAAAGGTGGAAAGAGGTACAATGATGATGGTGTATAATTCATGTGTATAATTCTTTTTGTCTCAGCAGTGCAAGCATGCACAAGTTTGAGTTCTGCTATAATACTTTAAATGAGTTTGGTAGGTTTCTGACATAAGTCAGCTTGAAAAAGAGGACAACCATCTAAAGGACAGTGTCCTCCTGTCCCACAAGGCCTTTAAAACCTTTAAGAGAAGACATCTTTAAAGCTTAATCGCCATGCCAAGTTGTAAAGATGACTGAATGTCCCAGCACATGGGAATGAGAGAGTTAGCCATGCCTTCTTTGAAACTTGCCTTGCAGGGCAGCGCAAGCTTCATTGCTACATGATTGGGAAGTGGTTTGGGGGTGAGGGGGGGCACAGAAAATGGGGAAGGGGTGGATAATTCTTCCTCCTCTGAAAAAGCTTCTATTGGTAACAGTGGACACTCATGGATATGGACAATCTATTTTGTGCCCTGAAAGACAGAATTGGGACTGAGGTCCCTAGCTAAGAGGCCCTTGAGTCAAGCGTGGAAGCAGCATTAAACAGAAGAGGCAGTATGTCATAATAAAGACTATAAGTGCCTGCAGAGACTCCATGTATTTATTGCACAAGAAATGGAAGAAGCTGAGATTGTGTCATTGATTTTGTTCTGTTACTGTTAATATAAACTGGGTAGGGTTGTTTTGAGAAATGCAAGTGTATCCCATACTACAAAAGCAAAGATACCCCTTTGCTTCTTTAGTATTATACATACTTATATGGTCAGATGCATTCATTTCCTGCTTTTAAATTACATTGTGGAACTTGCCTTCTGTTAATGGTAACTCTCTTATTAAAGAGTAACACCTTTGTGACATTGGCTTTATGAGAACAGACTGAAAATCAGTTTCCCATCTGGCTTTATTGCTAGTTTAATGATCTTGAATATTAGATTTCCATACTGCCAATATGCAAGTATGTCATTTTTCACCAAGATGAGAAATATGGCAGCTCACCGAAAACTTAAAATTGAGTCTATACAAACAAATTAAATAATGGATTATTCACTATACATTTTGTAATTTGATGGAAGTACCACGTTTAATATACGTATAAGAAGCATTTGACTATGGCAATATCATTTTGTTTGATTACGTTTCTATTTCAGAAATATCTTAGCTTTAACATTATTTTTAGTGTGCTCAGATATAAAAATAAAACCATGCCGTTTGTTGCACAAAGCAAATATGAGTATCATAGCTTGTATCCAAAGTTTTTTTTGTGTGGAATTAAATGTATCCTTAGAAATAAAATTAATTTTAAAGTATCTGCACAGATAGATATTGGAAGCAGTAATTTTATTTGAATTTGAATAGAATATATACAGGTCCTAAAGATTTTATTTAAATTTTGAAGATAATCTGGATATTGTCTTCAATGTACTTTTATTATGGCCCATGACCCCTTCAGTCTCTGTATGGGAAAATTCAGTAGTTTTGACTGATTGGAATAAGGGATATTTTTTACATGCTGTCCTCTAAAATCCTCAACATCAGTACCCACAAATTCAGAATTGTGATTGTTCTTGAAGAGAAACAGGAACTTAGCAGCAATTCTGGTAGTGTATTTCTGTTAATGTTGTCTTTGTTTCTCTCTTTAGAAAAAGACCTTTGGGAATTATGTAATAAATGCAATATGATGAGACCAAAGCGTTCCCACCACTGCAGTCGATGTGGGCACTGTGTTAGGAGAATGGATCATCACTGTCCATGGTAAGATGAGTCTAGTATGTCATTTAATTTCATCTTTTTTAACTTCTAATTAAAAGTGACTCTATACTTTTTCTAATAATTACGTACCTTATAGTTGTAATAGCATGATCATATCAAGAACCAAAAGAAATATTAACTTTGAAATACTAATCTTGTTTTTAAAAACAAAAGCTGGAATATTAATGCGGCACTGTGAACCCAAGGAGCACTACTATTATATTTCAAAAATAGTTCAGAAGCAAAAACAAATCTTAACCTTACAAATGCAACAATTGGGATTTCTGGGGAAGAAATGGTGAACTGAAGGCAGCTCCACTAAAAGCAGAGCCAATGACTGCAATGGAATGAAGAGCCAGCAAGTGGCCAGCTGTTCGTAATTCCTCTCCAGACAAGGAGAGGGCTTGAGATCACCCACAAGTGCTCTATACAGTTGCTCCTCATGAGGAGACCACAAGACAGTGGTCTCCAGTGGGTTTAGAGCTCTGGGAGATAAGGAAATAGCCATCTTGCTCAAACCACAGTTGGTGCCTTTAAAAGGACACTGGGTTCTCATGCTTCCTTTTCTAATCTCTTTTGGAAGTTGCCTTTTAACTGCTTTTCAGCTAATAGCAACCTTTGGATCAACAAGTCTGAAAACACCAGGTGAGTTTCCTTCAATTTGTAGCGAAAGAAGTTTTAAATACAAGTTTAAGGACTTACTTTTTTTTTCTGGAATAAACAGCAAAAGGATGATTAAAACTTTTATTTTAGAAAGTTACAAATGGACTAAGGGTCCAGATAAATTTGAGATAAGATTTTGGAATTAATTATAAAGAATCCTTTCTGTGGGAAAATGTTTTTGTTTTGAATTCTTTAAAAAAAAATGATAGGATGGGACTTTGAAGATTGGACACTAGAGGAAACTAGAAGGAACTAAAGTTTACAATTAAAGGAGAAGACACCTTAAATTCAACTTACTAACACAGAATGAAGCAAAATATTTTAACATTGGACATATTGAAGGATATTTTTGAACAATGGACCCAGAAGTTAATTTTAAGAATGTCTGCCTCTATAGAAAGACTGTGTCTAGAAGATGTTATGAAAGAGGAGCAGATTTTACCTGGCAAGATTGAGACTGATCTGAGAGTGGATTTAAAAATGACAGGCTTCAAGAATGATATGGAAAAAGATGCTACACTGGACATGCAAAAGAAACTAGCAGCTGATGTCTTAAAACAGGTAGTCCCCGGGTTAAGAACGCCCAGTTTACAGACGACCCATAGTTAAAAGCAGAGCCTGTTGTACCAAAATGTGAGTTAAATACACAATGATTCGAGTTAAATACACAATACTACTTATATAGTATTATACAATAATACTGTTCCAGCTTACATACAAATTTGACTTAAGGAAGACCTTGGGAATGGAACTCATTCTTAAATTGGGGACTACCTGTAATTAAAAGGGATATACAAATAACAAATCAAGAGAGTGACCTGGATTATTTTCCTATATTGGATTTACAAAAGAGTTTTATTAAAGCTTTGAAGAATTTTGTGAGAAGGGACAAAGAAAAAATGAAAAGAAATCAAGTTGGATGTTATTCAAAGGGACTAAAGATCAAGATTGTTAAAAGTAAAAGGAAGGAATATAAAGTTGGTTTATTTAATCAAGGTTAAAATAGATATGTTATCTCTGGTAACCCTTAATGGACTTTTGCTGACATCTTGACTTTGAAGAATTTTGTGAGAAGGGACAAAGAAAAAATGAAAAGAAATCAAGTTGGATGTTATTCAAAGGGACTAAAGATCAAGATTGTTAAAAGTAAAAGGAAGGAATATAAAGTTGGTTTATTTAATCAAGGTTAAAATAGATATGTTATCTCTGGTAACCCTTAATGGACTTTTGCTGACATCTTGACTGAAATGAGGCTTTAAGGATTTGTTTTAATGTTGTGATTGTAATTTTAATAAAATTACTATAAAAAACAAATGTAACAATCATTCTAAAATGTACTAGCAGAAGGTAATGTTTTATGTTTCTAAAGCATATGTTACATAAACTTCATTTTTCAGCAGTAAAGAGAATTATTCTAGTTATACATACATAATCATATTTGCCCCAGAGCCACAGTGTGCCAGGAAGCCCCTAAGCTGCAGCATATTCTTTTCCCAGCCTTCCTGAGCTTGTGCCACACCACAGCACCCCCCTCCTCCAACTCATGCACGGCCCATGCCAGGCCTTCCAGGCCTCCCCCATCTCCCTGCAGCAACCTCATGCTCCTTATTTGGGACTCCCACCTCTTCCTGCTTAATGACACATGATCTTGGGGTTACAGTGGCAACCAGGATTGCCCGGGATTGCCATCACTAAGTGATGTGGTCACATGATGTTTCGCTTTACAACCGCATCGCTTAGTGACAGAAATTCCAGCCCCAGTTGTGATCATAAGTCGAGGACTACTTGTATACCAGATGTGATTGCACCATTGATTTATATAAGGGCATTATATAAACCTGGTAATCTAATTTCACAGGTTTAAGTGAAACAAACTTCTAGGTTTCACTGCTGCACAACACACAGGAAAAAAAAAAAGTTATGTTCCAGGGCAAAATATTTTTTTATATCATGATCAGGAGGGTGTTGTCAAAAAAGTCAAGACTGTTAGAACTGGGCAGTTGAAGTCACACACATGCACAAAAGGGTGGGATTTCAACTGCATGATTGCCTGCACCATCTTGACCTTTTGACGCCCCTCTCTCCTCCCCCTTGCCATGGATGCTCCTAAAGTTGGTATAATAAGCCAATATGCTGGACTGAGCCTATATGTTGATTGTGATTTATGAAATATAAGATTAGTATATAGTCATCCTCTGACCTTGTTACAATAAAGATATTCATTCAAGAGCGGGAAGATACGACTTTATAAAAAATCCCTGTATGCCATGAACTACTTTATCTTTGTGAAAGATTATGATAGCTGGTAGAACTGGACCGGTACAAATTTAACTGATGGAAGCAAGGGAAGGAGCAGAAATGCAAAGGAAAGCAATGATATATGTTTTTCTATTGTCCCAACTCTTTCAGTCACGTGTGAGAAACATGCTTCTCTCCTTAGAGGTCGCTAGGTATTTTGAAGCGCCTGTTAAATGTTCAGAACCTTTGACATTGCTATCCCTGTGTTTACACTGTTTTCTGCAGGATTAATAACTGTGTTGGTGAAGATAATCATTGGCTGTTTTTGCAGTTATGCTTCTACACAGAACTTCTGAGTTCTTATACACTGCTTCTTGATTTCTGCCACTATTACTACTTTGAACCACTAAAAAAAGTTAATGAGGTAAGAGAATTTTCTCCTTGCCAGAATAGGATAAAAGTTGTGTGTTAATGTATTTTGATAACTGAAATAGTTGCTTTCTAATCTCTTAAGTCCACTCTCTTACTTCCCTCTGCTGATGGAACACTACTTTTTGTCGACTGCAGAAATAGATGGCTTGTCATCTTTCATTCTCTTTAAGAAATATTAGTTTAGCAGAATGTATTATTTGCACAATCTGCTGAAATGCAAACTGCAGCATAGAAGTATTTCATAGAATTAAGGAATGAAATAATATACATTTCACTTGAAAGACTGCAGATACTACAGTTGTTTGTCCAGTAGGAGGAGTAGTATTATTGCAAGATCTCTCTAGAAAGGAATTGTGTACAACATGCAGATTTGTTAGTGATTATCAGAAGTCATTATAGATGTCAAAGTTTCATAAGCTTTCATGGAGGAACACAAGATTTCTTGCAAGACTTAGTGGGTGCGATTTAGGAGAGGTTCAGGGACTGCATTGCTGACTTCTCTAGTAACCAGTCTGCAGTGGTAAAAAGTATGAGTTGCAAAAAAAAAAAAAAAGTGTGAAGGAACAAGCCACAGATTGGCCAAAGAAGCTGCAGTTTTGTACTTTGGAATACCATTGTGCATTTCCTGTTTACCAGAAAAACAGTATTAAACTTTTATATTTTCTTTTACAGGATGTCTTTGTGTTTAGACATGAGCTTGCCCTTACAAGAATATCAACATTCATGGGTTTAATTATGTTAGTTGGAATTACTGGACTCTTTTATACTCAGCTAATTGGTGTATTTAATGTAAGTGTTTGATGTCTTTGATATATTGTATGCATATATTTATGCAGTGCTAAAAGTATATAATCTGTTGTTGTTCTTTAGTTCTTCAGTTGCTTCCAACACTTTGTGACCCAAAGCTTATCAATTTGCCAGATTTGTTTGTCAATAGCTGCTTCTTTTGAGTTCTTCTAACTTCCTATTTGTGTTGTAAGTGATAATATCTAAGCATATTGTCTTGTGTTGGCCTTTAACTTTTCCAGGCATCAGGGACTTCTCTAATGACTCTTGCCTTCACATTATGTGTCTACAATATTTAAGTTTTTGCTTCATTGTAAGTGCTTCCCAGAAGCAGTCTAGTTTTATTTGATCTAGTATTGAATAATTTGTTCTTCTTGTGGTCCAAGGTATTCTCAGCAATTTTTTTCCAGCAGGGCAGTTTTATAGATGTCAGTCTTTCTTCATTCATCCTTTCTGGTGGTCCAGCTTTCACAGCTATTTGTTACAGCCGGGAAAACCATACTGTTAAATTAATAACATTTGCCATAATTATTTGCCAGGAATGCTGGGACTAATAGATAGACAATTAGAAAAGAGTTATGGAACATTGTTTTTGTATATGATAATTGCTGTGAGACTATTATATGCACAGAAATGGAAAAACTCTGAAATACCCACAATAGAGGAATGATTGGTAAAGATGATGGAATTAGCAGAGATGGCAAAATGGACTTGTCTGATTAGGGAAAGGACAATAGCTACATTTATTAGTGACTGGAAAGCCCATATAGACTTTTTGTTGAAGAAAGAAAAAAATTAACTTGTGGGTTTATGGGTGTGACAATTAGAAAGGGTAGACTATGGAAAGAAGGGAATTTCGATGTAATCTTAGAGAGAGAGCATAAAATATAAATGCATTTATAACCACTTTTAAGAAGATCAGAAGCTGCTTCTTTATAATCTTTTCTTTCTCTTTCTCTTTCCTTTCTCTTTCTCTTTCTCTTTCCTCTTTTCATTCTTATCTATTCCCTATTTTTCTTAATTTTCTTTATTTCTTTTCTAAAATAAAATTTTAAAAATTTCTTTAATAAAAATTATTTGCCAGGAATGGTTTAAAAGAATATAAAATAATAAAAGCAGAGTGGAAGCAGGCAGATTTGAAGACTTAAGATACGCAACCAGACACTATGCCAGGAGGTGGGGTCCTGGATTTACTGCATTTGGGAAATGGCAAATGGAGCCATCAGTTGTCCAACACTTTATTTGGAGAAGAACTGCAATACTAGCTGCTGGGATGAGAGGAAAGTTAAAGCTCTCTCCTACACATGCCTGATGTTAATTGGAAGTTGCATTAATTACAATTTGTTGGTGTAGTTTACTACCTGAATTCATAATCTAAATATCCACGAAAAATATCTATGCATTCATTTTACTGTAGTATTATTTTAAATGTAATATTTATGTTAGCTTTGTATTAGAAGATCAGTTAGAGAGATAAATAGTGATTTATATCTAGAGAAGTTTTGAATCTTGCCTCTGCCTTGAAATCACAAGGTGTGACTTTACAATATAATCAGTAAAATTATTGACTTGACTTAAATGGCCATTCTAAGGAATAAAACGATATAATGTGCATGCATGCATGCATGCATGCATGCACATAATTATTGACTTGACTTAAATGGCCATTCTAAGGAATAAAACGATATAATGTGCATGCATGCATGCATGTATGTATGTATGTATGTATGTATGTATGTATGTATGAATGAATGAATGAACCTGTTTTGAGCTTATGAGACTCTTCTGATTTAATTGAATAAAACTGAAATGAACAGTATGAAAGAAAAATCACCAAGTTTAAGATAAGCTTAAAAGCTGTAACAA